CCATTTTGTACTAGGAACCTTTCTTAAACATCAATAGTGACTTTGGTTTACATCACGGATATTGTCAACTAGTTTGCAGTGGGGCTTACAATATGAGATTTGTTATCGAAAAACGACATAGCAAAATCTTATTGATCATATAACCTTCAAGTTTATTAAATTGCGATTTCAAAATTAATATCCTTTATTTTAATTGTCCTCTTTTTTTCTTTGCGTGTGTTGAGTTTGGTAATAAACCTTGTAAGGGACTTAATATTCAATTATGTTTTCACCTGCCTTTGGAAAATTACATTAATAAAATAAATAAGTCAGATATAAAATTAAAACTTGGGTAACTAGAAGAGCAATAAATTTCTTCATTAAACTCTGAATGCTATTAATGCTATGATATTTGATGAACCTATTGTATGCTATCAATCAAAACTCTCTGTAGTTTGTTAGTTGGGTGTGAAGATAAGAAGACGACGTGCAGAGGACCATCGGTGAAGATAAGTGTTTTTGAACAGAAGTCAACTATTCTTGAACTCTTCTAAAGTATAGAAGAAGAAGAAGAAGAAGAAGAAGAGGAAAAATAAAATCAAGTAGAGAAAAAGACGAGCGAGGTAAAATCTGAAATGAAAAACAATCTGGGTTTGTTTATCTCCTCCAGTGACTCTCTTCTTCCCTTCTCATTTTCATCACTTCTTATTCCCTTCCTGCTTCCTTCCTTGCTTCTTTCTTTCTTTTTTACATTTCCTCCAAATACTTTATTATACATATCTGTCACGTCTAGAGAAGTGGGGGGAGTAATACTTTCCTACGGACACATAGATTTCTTCTAGACCAGACGCTCTTGACTATAACTTTATTCGCTTGTCTTGTACGAAGTAGAGGTTGCTGAAAGAAAAGAGAAAAGAAGAAAGACAATCATTTTCTTAGTAGTTGCCAGCAAATCCAAGCAACATATCCAATACATCAATCACTTCTGAATTTAATCATATGCCGTGTAATTATTTTCAGATAATCATCAAATATACAGCCCAACCATGTCTCAACTTTATACCAATAACACACCGGCCCAAGTAGCCGTTGCTGTGTCTCTATCTATCCTAACAGTGGCTAACGTAATAGGAAACATCCTGGTTACACTGATCATTCTGACCAATAAATCCATGAAATCACCAATGAACTACCTCCTCGTCAACCTTGCTGTAGCTGATATAATGGTAGGGATATTCCTTGCTCCACAGTATGTTTTCATCTCCTTTTTCAYTCATCCTGACGGCGTTGCGGGAAAGATATTGTGCAAGGTGTTAACTGGTGGATCRTTTGCTTGGATAGGTGCTGTTGCTTCGTCATTTACTCTCGTTTCTGTRKCATGTGAAAGATATTTTGYAATCGTSCATCCTTACTCTATCAAGCTGAAACTAAATATGAAAAGGCTTAAATTGATCGTCATCTTTTGTTGGCCTTACGCCTTGCTATTTAACTTTCCTACATTATGGACACTTGACTTCAGYACAGAGGTACAGTCGTGCACGCAACAATGGTCAATGCATCTCATGTGGCTTTCTACTACTTACAGCACATTWTGGTTGGTTTTTGTTGGAGTCATTCCTATTTCCATCATGTTTGTTCTGTACAGCAGAGTCATCTACTCTCTTTGGTTCAAGCAACACCAAGTACAAGGTACACAACTAGCCTTGTTGAAGTCAAGGAAGAGAGTTACCAAGATGATGATCATTGTCAGTGTTGTATATGTTGTTTGCTGGCTTCCAAATATCTTGATATATCTCTTTTCCAGTCATGACACTGGACTCGTGTTGGCAAGTCTTCCATATGTAGCTAGCTTGGTGTTGGCTGCATGTAATTCCGCTATCAACCCGTTCGTCTATACTTTGCAGAGCGAAAGGTTTCGCCGTCTTTTGATGGGGTTACTTCGATGTACGAAACAACGCCAAAATTGCATTGCTGTTGTCAATCAGGGAAAGTCTTCCATCAAAAAGTGCAACATTTCTGGACTCGAGCTCGTAGATACGAAGAAGAATGCCGAATAAAACAGTGTGGAAAAAGAAGGAACAGACAAAAACACAAACTAGCGAGGAGAATTACATACAATTTTCAATTCTACACAAAATGTAAATAAATAAGACATATAACTTGTCCTTTCATTGTAATATTACAGTGCGGACACTCGAACCATGAAATTCCGCTTTGTGTATACTTTGCATAGCGAGAGGTTTCCGGACGTCTTTTGATGGAGTTGCTATGTTGTAGGAAACAACGGCAAAAAAACCTTGCTGTTGTTAATCAGGGAAAGTCTTCGGACAAAAAGTGCAACTTTTCTGCAGGGAAAGTCGAGCTCGCCGATACAAAGACGAACGATTGAAAAAGGGTGGGTCTACGTGACGATAGAACCTGAAAGAACAAACAAACAAACGGACAGACAGACAGACAGACAACAAGCTTAAGCCAACCGATGGGTCAACTGAACGGAAAGACAGGCAAACAAACAAATAAGGAGACAAAACAGAGAGACAAAAAGACAATCAAAAGGAAAAAAGTAACACTAAATAAGCAAACAAGCAACCCAGAAACCAACAAAATTGCAAAGAAACAGGTAAGCAGACAGAGAGACAGACAAACAGACTGAGTGACAAACAGCTGACGAAAAAAAAATCGATATCGAATCGATATCTATGAAAGACGTTCTCATTCGAGAGAACAGAACGCGAAATCTTCAACCAAAAAAAAAGAAAAGAAAAGAAAAAAAGAAAAAAGAAGAGAAAGAAAGAAAAAAAAGCTTAATTAGGAGCTCGGAAAGTGTAATTTAAAATAAGTTAATTAGAAACAAGAGCTGAGTAAATTAGTGTCGCGCGTGGTTATATGGGGAGTTCTCATGCAGCGTATCCTTACACACCCTTCTTTTAGCACAGAAGCCTTCAGTCTGGTTGGCGTGCTCGCTCAGTATATCTAAGGCATGGCTATCGAACGACATTTAGACCCCCGCGAAGTTTGCGATCTAAAAGGACTGGGCGCTAGGTTTCTCTGACAACGCATGCGGATTTGAATTAAAAATGGCGACCGGTTGGAGAAGGGACGTGATCTTTTCACATTTACACTTTGTAATAGTCGTTACTCGGTATCTTTAATGCCAAGTTTTAGAGGTAAGAGTTTTATTACAATTCGCTAATGTATTCATAATCTTAAATACTGGTATTTAATTTAAAAGWTATTATTGTTTTGCAAGATTGAAAGCTAAACGCTTTCTAAACGTGCCTTGTATACTAAAGAATACTTAAGTTAAAGCCTTATTTGATCCCATATCTTATTTACATGTCCATCTGACTGTTCTCCTATGAGCTGTAGTTATCTATTTACAATTATTTGCAAGAGTCTTTTGTAATAAAGTCTTTAGTTCTTTGCATATCAAAGAATTAAGTTGAGGCCTAAGTTGAGGCCTTATTTGAGTCTATATCTTATGTACATATCAATCTGATTGTTTTCCTATGAACTGTAGATATCTACTTACAAGGGCTGTGCAGTTATAAATAAAGTATTTCATCATGAAAACGCGAAAACCGCTGGACCTTTGTACCCGAGCCTGTCTTCGATTTCTTTGTAAAACTGAAATAACTTTATCGCTCTTGAGTAAAKGCTTAAACTTCTTCTTGGTTTTTCTTTTGTAGCTATTTTAGCTCTACTACTTATTGCTAATCAGAATCTAACTGGAAAATTGTAATATCTCTGCTAAAAGTTTTGAAAAAAGTAATTGCAACTTGAATAGTCATTTAAAATGTTCAAAAATGATTTTTCAAAAAAATATTATATGTTTAGTGTTGAAAAAAAATCACTTTTCCAGTTAGGTTTTTAAACTTATATCCTTTAGGGATAGAACAAATGTCAAAAGGCAACGACTTTTAGCTGTAAAGAATTTACTCAAAGCAAATGAAAATCAATTGTCGATTATCACACCAAATATGGTAATATTTCGTCACGTGATCACTTAAAATAAATGATTACACTTTCAAACTGTAGCCAGTACCGAAACCTATTATCTTGGCAAAAATCATCAGCATACACCCATTCGATATCTTTATATAAATTTTTCTTTATTTTTTTGCTATATTACTCAATCAGCCATGCCTTAGACATGCTGAGCGTGCTCGCCTCTCACCTCCCAGGTCCGGGATTTGAATCCCAGTCACCCCATGTGAGCTGAGTTGGTTGGTTCTCTTTCTGACTCCGAGGGTTTTCCGGTCCTCCGGTTTTTCCTCACTCCCCTAAAACTGACCAAAACTAATTCATACTGGTTAGAGCTGTGTTCCGGGGTCATACATGGACTGTATAGCAGCTGGAAGAGGCGCTTACTATGCTTTCAGTTCAACCCCCTTGAGCTGCACCACAGGTGTTTAAAAATCGGTAAATTGTAAAAAATGCTCATCTTTTTAATTCTTTGAACCTCTTGCTGGCTTACAGTGCGGACACATTAACCAGGAACACTTTAACAAAATTCAACATTCAACAAATCGACCTAAGTTTTTGTGTGTCTTTCCTCTTATTGACGATTAATTGCGTCATCAAATTGTCAATTAAAGTAGTGTGAATCCACGAGGCGTAGCCGAGACTTTACTCATGACTGGTAAGCTTTCTTCAAGAGGTTCTATTAGTGTGTTCGCACAGTTAAATCGATATCATATGAATCCGCCAATCAAATACTGTAACTTGGTAGTAAATTATCGCAGTGCCACTTTACATCCCCATTTCAAGCAGGCTTTCAGCCTCAATAATGGAGTCTTGAGCTTACATTGATCTTGTCAGCTATTTTGCAGTGCGGCTTACAATATATAAGATTTAGTAATGAAAAACAAATGAATGCTCCATTGCAATGGGGTTTCTTAAACCGCAATAGTGGAGACTTGAGTTTACCCGTGGTATTGTCAACGTACTAGTTTGCAGTGGGGCCTGCAATATATAAGATTTATTGGTGAAAAACCATATATCAAAAGTTCATTAAATTGAGATTTCAAAATTAATATCTGTTGTTGACTTGATGCATTTGTTGACCCGCATGCTAGGTCTAACTCTAGCATCTGCTATTATTAATTAACACTTATTGACTGAGACCGAGGGAAACAGCGTGTTTCGTGGTCCCGAGAGGGCGTTCGCCTCGGGAACCATCTCCGTCTATGGAACACGAAACACAAAACACACTCGCTTTCCCGAGGTTACAGTCAAACAGTCAATAAGTGTTTTGTTACATACCAAATGTCAAAGAACACCTAGCAAATGCTTGATTTTCTGATTATTTGATTTTGACGAATTAGAAAAAGYTTACATTTCACAGCACGTTCACGTGATACCCTCTCGACCAATCAAAGTACGAGAAAAATGGACTTTGACAGTTGGTATATATAAGAACAATATTTGTTTTTCCTTTCTCACGGCATAACGAACATCAAATTAATCTTTGCACTTGTTATAATGTTTCTTTTCTTTATTTTATTTTCCCTTTAGAGTTTTAAAAAATGATTCCCCATCGTAGGGATCATTTTGATCTGAGTTTACAGTTCGAGGTCCAAAAGACGATGAAATCGTGGTTTAAAGTGTGTTGTTTTTTCAAAGATGGCGACGGCTGTACTTTCCTCGCTTGTCAGATTATATATACATATCAGCGACATCAGATACCATAGGGATATTATATAGGAAAACAATGGCGCGCGCAAAAATAAAATGTTCTAGTGCATTTTTTATCGATCTTTTTACTCTTTCGTATCACGGAGGTCATTATCTTAACCTCGAATTAAGAAAATATATATTTAGTTTTTCCGATTTTATTTTCACCATTCACTTTAATCTTGTGATTGGGTGTAATAAACCTTGTCAGGGACTTAATATTCAATTATGTTTTCACCTGCGTTTGGAAAATTACATTAATAAAATAAATAAGTCAGATATAAAATTAAAACTTGGGTAACTAGCAGAGCAATAGACGACGACGTGTAGAGGACCGCTGGTGAAGATAGTGATTTTCAACAGAAGTCAACTGTTCTTGAGGCTGTGCAGTTCTATAGTAGAAGAATTCAAGGAGGAGGAGAAAAAGAAGAAGAAGAAGAAGAAGAAGAAGAAGAAGAAGAAGAAGAGGAAAATCAAGTAAAGAAAACTAAGACGAGCGAGGTAATATCAGAAATGAAAAGAAATCTGGGTTTGTTTATCTCCTCTAGTGAGTAATCTCTTCTCCCCTCCTTCTCATTTTCCTTCTTACTTCTGTTTCCCTACTTTGCTTCTTTCTTTCTTTTTTACATTTCCTCCAAATACTTTATTATACATATCTGTCACGTCTAGAGAAGTGGGGGAGTAATACTTTCCTACGGACACATAGATTTCTTCTAGACCAGACGCTCTTGACTATAACTTTATTCGCTTGTCTTGTACGAAGTAGAGGTTGCTGAAAGAAAAGAGAAAAGAAGAAAGAAAATTCAAACCCATCATGTTCTTAGTAGCTGTCAGAATATTCAAACAACATATCCAATACATCAATCACTTCTGAATTTAATTATATGTGTAATTATTTTCAGATAATTATTAAATATACAGCCCAACCATGTCTCAACTTTATACCAATAACACACCGGCCCAAGTAGCCGTTGCTGTGTCTCTATCTATCCTAACAGTGGCTAACGTAATAGGAAACATCCTAGTTATACTGATCATTCTGACCAATAAATCCATGAAATTACCAATGAACTACCTCCTCGTCAACCTTGCTGTAGCTGATATAATGGTAGGGATATTCCTTGCTCCACAGTATGTTTTCATCTCCTTTTTCAYTCATCCTGACGGCGTTGCGGGAAAGATATTGTGCAAGGTGTTAACTGGTGGATCRTTTGCTTGGATAGGTGCTGTTGCTTCGTCATTTACTCTCGTTTCTGTRKCATGTGAAAGATATTTTGYAATCGTSCATCCTTACTCTATCAAGCTGAAACTAAATATGAAAAGGCTTAAATTGATCGTCATCTTTTGTTGGCCTTACGCCTTGCTATTTAACTTTCCTACATTATGGACACTTGACTTCAGTACAGAGGTACAGTCGTGCACGCAACAATGGTCAATGCATCTCATGTGGCTTTCTACTACTTACAGCACATTATGGTTGGTTTTTGTTGGAGTCATTCCTATTTCCATCATGTTTGTTCTGTACAGCAGAGTCATCTACTCTCTTTGGTTCAAGCAACACCAAGTACAAGGTACACAACTAGCCTTGTTGAAGTCAAGGAAGAGAGTTACCAAGATGATGATCATTGTCAGTGTTGTATATGTTGTTTGCTGGCTTCCAAATATCTTGATATATCTCTTTTCCAGTCATGACACTGGACTCGTGTTGGCAAGTCTTCCATATGTAGCTAGCTTGGTGCTGGCTGCATGTAATTCCGCTATAAACCCGTTCGTTTATACTTTACAGAGCGAAAGGTTTCGCCGTCTTTTGATGGGGTTACTTCGACTTAGGAAACAACGCCAAAATTGCATTGCTGTTGTCAATCAGGGAAAGTCTTCCATCAAAAAGTGCAACATTTCTGGACCCGAGCTCGTAGATACGAAGAAGAATGCCGAATAAAACAGTGTAGAAAAAGACAAAAACACAAACAAGCGAGGAGAGTTTTTGTGTGTCTTTCCTCTATCATTGACGATTAATTGCGTCATCAAATTGTCAATTAAAGTAGTGTGGATCCACGAGGCGTAGCCGAGACTTTACTCGTGTCTGGTAAGCTTTCTTCAAGAGGTCCTATTAGTGTGTCCGCACAGTTAAATCGATATCATATGAATCCGCCAATCAAATACTGTATGACCTGGTAGTAAATTATCGCAGTGCCACACTACATCCCCATTTCAAGCAGGCTTTCAACCTCCATAATGGAGTCTCGAGTTTACATTGGTCTTGTCAACTATTTTGCAGTGCGGCTTACAATATATAAGATTTAGTAATGAAAAACAAATGAATGCTCCATTGCAATGGGGTTTCTTAAACCGCAATAGTGGAGACTTGAGTTTACCCGTGGTATTGTCAACTATAGTTTGCAGTGGGGCCTCCAATACATAAGATTTATTTGTGTAAAACCATATATCAAAAGTTAATTAAAATGAGATATCAAAACTATTTTAGATGTGTTAATCATCACAGTAAATAAGCGATCTAAGCGAACGCTGTTAATAAAGACCTGAAAAAATGATTTCAGGCTTCAACGTGCGGGAATCGAACCCATGACCTCCGCAATGCCGGTGCGATGCTCTACCAACAGAGCTTTGAAGCCAATCCTGTTGGTGAGCGGTCATTTTTGTTGGGTTCATCAAAATCTGTTGTTGAATTGATGCATTTGTTGACCCGCATGCTAGGTCTAACTCTAGCATCTGCTATTATTAAGTAAGAGTTAGTTACCGAGAACGGAGGTAATAAGCCATATACATCCCGAGGGCCGCAGGCCCGAGGGATGTATATGGCTTATTGCCGACATT